CACTTACAGGTTGAGAAACAGCATTCTAGGTAAAATTCCTTTATAGTTTTCGTAGTGATACATTATCTCACATAAAATATCACTCTTAGTAAGTCCTTAGTAAGACTGTTAAGATAGGTGTACACAATTAACTGTTAAAAAATCTAACAAATCTTAATTTTCATTAGGTCGATCCGATGCGACTCAACAAGTCAACAGCAGTAACGTAGAGGAATCTAATGAAGAGTACGATGAACAGCAGTTTACTGGTTGCATGCTGCGAAACATTGCTCGTGATGAAGTAAATGAGACTGGAGGCGAAGGATCGTTGGACTGCGACGACCAACTCAATGCTGACTTGGAACAGGAAGATGCATTAAACTACTCAGAGTTTGAAGAGGACGCGCTTGAATATATTGCGGGATATATCATCAAAAAGCTTAAACTTAAGATTTCCCCACCGGACGAATCCGTTTTTACTTGGGTGGATCAAGTTTCCGAAGGTGGCTTGACAAAACCGGATCGTGCTTTTGCTATCAAGATAATGGCATTGAATAACGTATTTAAACGAGTTCATGGCGAAACATTTGATGAAGAGAAAAAAACCATTGAAACGTGTATGAACACATCTAAGGATGTAGATTTAGCAGAAAATGCTAAAAGACTGTTTTTCCGAACACGCTTGTATATCCGTATCAGATATCTAAACCGTAACATTGCAAACGCTTCGAAAGCAAAGAAAAGGAAAATGAAGAAGATCGTTGCGTAGACTACTCTTTTTTCCACTGTTTTTTTTTTTCTGAAATATACCTTCTGTTTGTACTTTATTCGTTTATTTTTAAAAGAGCTTTAATGTGATCTTACATTGAATTTCACTTTATATCACTGCGGGATTTCTGTCCTTAGGACAATTTCTAATGCGTTCACTCATCCGCTTGTCTTATGATCTTATTTTCAAATTCTGATGTGATTTGATGTGCCGCATGATGGGTTTCAGTTAAAGTCAGATTACGTTCACCCCCCCGAGTGGGATGTGTCCGAATGTGGCCGGTGTGGTCCTGGACACTCAATAAGGTCACCAATGACCTTACCTGTGAATTCTGATGTGATTTGAGGTGTCGCACGATGAGTGTTAAATCAAGTCATATTCTGGCCACTTCCCCGAAGGTACCCGAAACATGACCAGGTGTGGCCAATGTGGTCCTGGAAACTAAATGACGCTGCCAATGACTTTGTTTTTGAATTCTCATGTGATATGATGTGTCACATGATAGGTTTTAATTCGAGTCATATTCTGGGCACTTCCCCGGTGGATCTCGGATTATCTCCGGGTATAGCCACTTCCCTGGTGGAATCCGGGGTATGTCTGGGTTTGGCCAATGAATTTGAATGACTTTCATCAGATCAAATCAAATATTAAAGCCAGAGAAGGCATCCTCGTGTTGCTCTCTAGAAAGAAAATCGTTAGCTCAGAATGCTTCTCGTTTTAATTTCTAACATCACGCATCATAAACACCAGCCGTACAGTATTTTAACTAAATGAAGAAAACACAAGCCACTATATTATCCACAATAAAAGCAATAAAATAAAGCAAATTGCATTGAAAACACTAACTTCGCTCATAGACTGCTTTCTCTCGCGCTTGTTTACGAGATGGATAGCAATGACGTCATCGCGCAAATGTCATTTTCCGGAATATCTCACCTCCTATAGTGTACACCGTGTACTACATAAAGTTTTCAGTTGTTGATAACGGGTAAAAAAGTTCTTTACAACAGAAATCAACTGCTCCTTCGATCTAACTCTTCAGATATTTATCTGTCAAGCTGTGTGGTTAACTACAAAAATTACATTTTTAACGAAAGAGATGATTAAAATTTGAAATTAAAGAAGATTTTAAATTAGCTGTCCAGTAAAAAAAAAAACTTCCCCTCTAATATTTAAACATGAAAATATTCATCAAAGCACGTACAATTTGATCACGTCTTTAGTTTAAAAAACTGGTTGCCCCAATTTGCAAATTATCCACCAGAATATCGTATGTTTTGAACACATATAGACTGTTCCAGAAAGTATAAGCACACTTTCAAAATAACAAAAAAGTCATGTTTTTTTAAGTTTGAATAATTTTATTTGGCAAATCATTTTGTATTTATATTTCAAATGATATTTTACTTTCGTTTAATCAACATACTTAATCATAGCCAAGACTCCTAACTTTTCCTCGAACATGACCCATTAGCTTCTGCACAGTGGTACTTCTCACCATTTTGACCACTTTTGGCCAATCTTTTTTAAATTTTTGGATGTCGTCCGCTGGTTTTATTAATTTTCAAAGATTTGCTTTGGTTAAAGGCCAAAAAGTCTCGATTCCCACGGACTAGATGTTCTACCACACTCGCATATTGCCTGCCAAACCATAACCTTCTTACCGAATTTTTCGGTATAAATTGCCTTCTCCGTTTCGGGGATGTCCTTGCCTTCGCTTACAGTATAGAATTGTGGTCCGGGAAGCGTTTTGTAATCTAGTTTCACGTACGTTTCGTCGTCCATTATTCTACACCCAGAATTTCGACACAATAACGAATCGTAGAGTTTGCGGGCCCGTGGTTTCACGGACGCGGCCTGTTTTGGGTTCCTTTTAGGTTTTTTTTTTGCTTCCGGTATGTTTTTAGCCCAAGTCTTTCTTTGGCACGCATGACGTTACTCGACGAGGTCCCTAGTTTTTTCGCAACATCCCGAACGGAAGTCGCTGGTTTTCGTTTTGTAGGCATCCCTGATCTTTTTATCGATATCCGGACTTACATGACCGGATTTCCGGCCACTCTTCGGCGCATCTTCAAATGTACACTGTTCTTTATATTTTTCAATCGCAGTTCGTACCACTCCGACGCTTACACCCTCTTCCTTGGCCATTTTTTTCAAGGAGAGTCCGCTCACAGTGCAACATTTGTGCACGATACTTTTTCGTTGTTCCGAAGTAAGACCACGCATTTTGACAGGAAACACAAAACTGAGCACTTTTTTGATGTTATGTTATTCAGAAATGAGCAAACAAAAGGACGCAGCCAAAACATGTTGGAATATTTGATTATATTCAAATTGACCGTTAAAATAAGGTGTGCTTATACTTTCTGGAACAGTCTATAAACGCTCTTAACATTATTATTATTATTATTATTATTATTTAATTTTATTCATCGGACTATTGTCTACATGAAACAACCTTAAAGCTAAAACAATTCAAGTGTTTCTAATCCGTGCCAAAAAGCGAGATGAAGATTCCCCAAATTCGAATAATTCTTCGACAGCCGTAAACGTACGCATCATAGTTGTTAGTGGTTCGTTGTAACCGAACGCCGTTCGATGGTACCGCGGTTGGAGAAGGGTACCACTTCGTAATGTTCTCGGTGGTACTCGGATATCCAACAGCGAGAGAAGCCTCGAGCAGTCGACCTCACCATTCAATAGCTTGGCAACAAAAACTGCTTGCTGATTTTTCCAGTCGGCATTCCAGAGTATCCAAACTCAGCAGATTGCAGCGATCAGAATACGGCGGGAGATTTTGCGGATCACGCCATGGTAGATTACGTAATGCTATCCTGATAAACTTGCGCTGAACAATTTCGATCCTCAAGCTCCAAGTCAACTGATGAGGAAACCAGACCAAGGAGGCATTTTCCAGGATTGGTCGCACAAGTGAGCAATAGAGAGCTTTCAGGCAGTGTGGGTCAATGAAGTCCTTCGATATTTTCGACACAAAACCTAGCTGGCGATTCGCCTTTGTGATCAGAGCAGAGCGGTGGAGGTTGAACGTCAACTTATGGTCCAGTAGAACACCAAGATCGCTGAACTGGTCGGTTCTTTGAAGAACCACACCGTTGATGGCATAGTCAAAAACAATCGGCTGCCTGATGCGGTAATACGACATTACCATACATTTAGGAATGCTGAGGGTAAGCTTATTCCGACGACACCAATCAACGAACAGATCCAATACCGATTGAAGACGAATGCAATCCTCAGCAGTCCGCACCACGAAGTACAGCTTTAGGTCATCGGCATATGCAAGCTTACAGCCATCTCCAAGTAGAAGAAGTGCGTCGTGTTGCATTTGTGAGGTAGCGTGTTGAAGTATTCTAGAAAGTTGCTTGTTTTGGTAAATGAAAAAGACTCTTTCTAACATAGTATGCCATGAAAAAATCAAATAAAAAAGTTATAGTTGAAAAAACGATTTGAAGCGACCTTCCTTAAAAATACTTCATAGCTCAATGAAAACGACGATTTAAATCATTGATGTTTTCAGCAAAGTTTGTGGAAATGCTAAGATCTACATCTTTGGGAACATTTTATTTTTCTTATCCACATAGAAAAAAGTTAGAAATTTTATTTTTTGTCCTAAGTGATTTAAATTATGGACGACCCCTTCATCAGATGCGCCTTTTCTCAAATCTAAACTTGTCTGAAGACACCAACTACCTGAAAAACACCCTCCTGGACCACTGTGGCATTGGATTCATAACATTTATATAACTCGGGGCGTTTGGTACGGTATGTCCACGCATCCTTCCACCCCTGAGGATTCAAGAAATGCTTTGTTGTTTGAATGCTTTTATTTAAACACGAATCATTTCAAAGAATCATCTTTGCGGCAAATGCAACGCAGTAGGCCTGGCCGTTAAGATGTTTGTATCATATATCAGATATGCTGCCAACATCAATATTGACAAGAACAATCATTAGGCGTAATCTAACTCAATCATTTTCCAGGATGCTTTCTCGTACTGGCCTCATATGTTACGTGATTACGGCATCGGTAATATTTTTTATCTATTATCACCAGGGGGTGTTGTGAAATGTTGACCCAACGATGCTCTGAAACATAATGTATACTCGTCTTTGACTTAATTTACCCCCTGAAGATAATAGGTGAAGGTATTGTCGAAGTCGTAATTTACCCTTCGTCGTAAATTAAACACTACTCACTAATTTTTTAACGTTTGTTTTATTTTCCTTTCAGAATCAAGCGTAACATCTTCAGAATGGCCCCAGGCCATTACTTCTGGGCAATATTCTACTTTGCCTGTCTGTGCAGTGCGTCACTGTAAGTTTTGAAAGTAAGTTCAAAGGCGAATCATCGTCACTAATCTACATTCCTCACCAACCTCCCGAAAACAGAGCCAACAATGCCAAGGTGAACTTCCGCGAGAAGGAGAAGAAAATCCTCGATCAGATCCTGGGCGCTGGTAAATATGACGCTCGAATCCGTCCATCGGGCATCAACGGCACAGGTAAGACCGCATCCAATTACCACGGTTGTTTTCTCCGTCTAACTTTTCGTTCTTCTTGCATATATCACTTTGCATTTTTCATTTCATTCAAACAATCTATTTAAAAAACAGTACAGTATTCGATACAGTTTTTCGATTACATGATTTAATTTTATTTTCCTAACCGGTTTATCGATTTTGATCAACTAGGTTTTCGTTCCATTGGGTTTTGTATAGTTTCGAATAGTTTGTTTGTCAAAATTTTCGATTTTTCAATTCTCTCGCGGGCCGAATACGATTACCAATTGGTAGCAAAACGATTAATCAAATTCTACGGTCACCTTCCGGTACTCAATCTTAACTTTTCGTCTTTCGTTTGTACATAAGAACTCTAGCACGCTTGGCGTCGAAAAACACTCATTTAAAAAAAAAAAACTGAAATTAGAATTGTCGCCCCCAAGACTGAACTGCGTCCCATAAAGTTGGATGGTACTAGCGAAACACCCCTCCATCAATGATGAAACAACGGCAAGAAAAAAAAAGAGAGAGAAAGTGTGATGGAGGGAAGGACTTTTCCTGCCCTCTGGACGATTCCCAAAATCCATACAAATTAGAAAATTAGGTAAATTTATTCCAATTCAGTTCGCACTCTCTGCCCAAGAACGGATGTTTCGATGAGGTCTCTGACAAAACCGTCCATACTTTGAAGGTTGCATCAGTTTTGTGGGGTTGATTTTTTTTTTGAGCTTGATGGCGACGGCGACGAAACGGAATAACCAAAGTACAAAAATTGAACTAAAGTCTATTCATGCCGACTGAAGCAAGTCCGCATTGTTATGGTTATTGCGGTTCGCGTCTTGCCTTGTTTTGTCCGGATGAGAACTTTCAACTTTGGAAAACATCACCAGAACTGGAATTGTGGAAAGGAAGATGAATTTTCCGAACCGGAATGGACTTGACTTCTGACTTTGACTGACTATAATAATGGAGGTTTGCGGCAGCGACATTTGCAGTGATTGGGTAAGGACGTTATTTGAATAAACTACAAGCAAATAGCATAGGTTCGTGTTCCGGAAGAAGTTGATGGGATTCACAGGATGTCAGTCGGATTATTTCCTTTATGTGGACCCTATACGATTGCTTTTATTGACAATAATCGTATTGTCAATACATTCAATATTGACGTCAATACATCGGTATTGAAAATATTTCTGTATTCACATCATCAATATTAATGTCAATAATGCCCCTTCACGTCAATATATTGATACGTGTAGGGTTTGCTTTAGATTTCAGGATAGTTCTAGATAAACATTTCAAAAGGTTCTATCTGCTTTGATCGATTCTGATAATCGACTATTTCTTTTGATAACCACGGCTATACAAACAGATGTTGTGCAATGTTGGCCACAAAGGTTGAAGGTTCTTATCTAGCATCCAAAACATAGAACAGGACAGGGATTATGTTTTGCAGCTGAGTTAATAGCGAAAGAGAAAGTCGATGAAGATAATCGATCAATGCAGATAGAACATTTGGAAATGTTTATCTAGAGTTCTTTCTAACGACGCTGCTTAATCCGACTGGATGCCATTCGAACATATTCGAATATTTTGTCGACAAATAGCTAAAGGCAATTAGACGTACTCACGAAACCCTGTGAACTAACTGCTGGACATCAACTTGCTTGCTAAGGCTCGGAACCATTTGGCATATTTTATTAACTTTGGGTTAAAATTTGACAGATGAAAAGTTATCGATTGATCCTTCTATCTGCAAAATCCTCTTCTCAAGATTATGGGAACTTCGGAATATTGAATATTCTGGCATTAACACTGTTTAGCTTTCACACTCAACTTGCACTCGTTATTTGCGTTCGCTTTCAACGCTTCTCCTCAACTCCTCTGTATCACGTTCCTACGCTTTTGTCTAAAGACCTTTTTGACGTTTAATTGCCTTTCTCTATCTAGCACACAGGGATAAATGGATGGTTTGTTTTTCCACAAATCTGTTTCCCTCCTGCTCGCACTCGTTCAATTTGAATGCTGCTTTAGTGTGCGCCGATTAATCGTCAAATAGCTCTATGGAGCTCTCTACCACCAATAGGATTATAGCGAATTCGTTTATTATCGGGGTTGGAACCAGTTCCAACCCAGTGCGAAACCGAACTTTTTGTCAGTGCGAACCTCAATCTGAGCTGGGTTTTAAAAACAAACGATCGAACTGACGTTTGTCAGAAAACAAGCAGGCCCAATCTTGATACCCGATCCAGGTTGGAACTGAATAATAAACGAATTCGCTATTAGTGAGCAGTTTCACTAATACATCCATTTTACTGGTTGAAAATATAAAAAAACAAACAGCTGTCAAGTCTCACACTTTGACAGCTGATTTCGTGGTTGAAAAAATAAACAAATCGATTTTACACGGCTTCACTAGCAAGGTTGTATTAGTGAGATCTTGCGGCGAGAAGCCAATTGCCCTATGCTTGTCTTTGCTCATGCCCTATCAGCGCTGTCTGTCTGTCATACACTGATGGTAAATAACATCTGTTAGGTTTCACACTATCCATTTTATTTCTGACAGACAAGAAGTTAGAAGTTGACCACCGTGGCTGAGTTCTGCTCTAAAATTGGTCGATCAAGACAGGGGTTTTAGAGCATGGTAAATAACTTTCGAAATGTCACTTTTAACCACGAGTTAAGTTTATCTCGGTAAATGGTTCACAGCCTATGTCGAGAGAAATAGATTTTAAACGTCAAGACCAGGGTTGGAATGCTCATTTTTTAAACAAAAAAAATGCTCATTTGTTAATAACTTCTCACGCAGTTGATGGTTTTACTTTTAGCAATTGGGTTCATTATCATCTGAAAGAGCTACGTTTTCTCATAACGATAGTTATTTTTTGATCCCATTTACTTCTAGAAACCAAAAGCCCTTTTCTATAGCGAACCCCACACGTATTAATATATTGACGCGAAGAGGAATTATTGGCAATAATATTGATTGCGAGTAGAGAAATCAATCTGAACATTGCATTAGGTCCTAAGTAACATTGATCGATTCTCTTTGTCGACTTTCTATTTCGTTAATAACTTGAGCACATAACCGTGTCTTGTTGTGTTTGTCGTATTAGACGCTAGATAAAAACTTCTTTTATCGATCGGAGTGCTAAAAATACCTGGGAATTTCTTTACATGGCCGTAGGGATACAAAGAGAAAGTCGACGAAGAGAATCTGTCGATGTTACTTAGGACCTAATTCAATGTTCAGCTTGATATATTGTAAATATCGCTGTATTGACGGCAATTTACACGCTACTTGAAAACTACCCAAAAATCGGTAGAGTCTACCCAGTTCGTTAAAAACTGAACCTACCCAAAAATGGGTAAACATGCATTTACCGAAAGCTTGGTAAACGTACTTGCGACAGAAACTGGGTTACGGTTACTCAGATGTTGACATTTGATAACTGGGTAAACTTTAGCAATTTAATAGAAATTTGCTGATATGACCGCTGCAGCAGCTCTATCAAACATAACCCCATCCAACTATAGTTCATCTCCATCTAGCTCAACTAGTCTGTTAATGATTGTCGAAAAAATGTGAATCTATGGAATACGGAATTGCAATTCCCAAATAAGGATATCATTACAAATGCTAACCATTTATTGAGATTTGATTTTAAATAAGTTCTATATATTAGGAACAACAACAAACATTTGTCATCGAGAAAAGTGGCACAGAATATCTGGATAAGAAAGTTTAAAGCAAGGTTGCAAAGACTCATTTCAGCTAAAACAATGTTTTTCTAAATTATGAAATAATTAGATGCCATTATCAAATTTTGAATTGGTAGGATACAAGAAGAGGTTGCAAAGAATGTGTTTGACATATTTAACCTGTTTATTTCACTTCAGGAGAGTCACAATCAGCGATTTTTCACAAACTCACTCACTCACTCACTCACTCACTCAGCGATCAGCAAATCGCTGATTGTGACTCATAGAAAGCAAAATTTACAGGTTTTATGTTTCCAACGCATACTTTGTAACTTCTTCTTGTAAGTTACAAGTAAAACATGCCATCATACCATCTTTTGGTTTTATTATTCCGAAAAACATTATTTTAGCTGAAATGAGTCTTTGCAACCTTGGTTTAAAGTTCAGAAACTAACAATACACTTACTAGCTGGCAGCATTCGCAATCCAAACAGTTCCGTAGCTGCAACATTTTTAGCGTAAGAATTGTATATTTTGAGCAGTAAGCGCAACAATCTCACTTTCAAACCTGCGCCATGTTTAAGTTTGGGAAAATTTCAATTAGGACCATTTACCCAGAATCTGGGCAGATTCTACTCATCAGAACAAAACTAGCTTACACGCTATTTCAAAACTACCCAAATTTGGGTGGAATCCACCCAGATTGGTCAAAACTGAACCTACCCAAAAATGGGTAATCTGTGTTGGGAGTGACAATTTGACAAATGAACAACGTCGATCGGATTCATCTCAATGTTGTTCATTTGTCACTCCCAACACAGTTTACACATTTTTGGGTAGGTTCAGTTTTGACCAATCTGGGTGGATTGTACCCAAATTTGGGTAGTATTGAAATATCGTGTACCCACATTTTGACAACTCCTTACTATAGTCGCTATATTCATAATCTGGCGGATAGAATTTCAATCTATCAAAAAGCGGAACCAATTCTTTATATTTTAGACCAACAATTAAAAAGGTACTATCAACTTTTGTAAACAAAACGTTGATTATTCTTTCCTCACCAATCTAACGCAAATTCCCATCATCATCGGATAGGGGAAACTTTCTCCAATCTAAAGACGGTGTTTGTTTGCGTAGACGAGCCTTGAGTTACGAGAAAAGGGTTTCCGAAGTTTTTTTTCGCAATAGCTGATGTGCTCTATTCTGTTCTTGGTCGTGATTTGTTCGATTGGTTCCGCTATTTGACAGCTCAATTGGTTCCCGCGATTCTATCCGCCAGACTATGAATATAGCGACTA